AATGTTCCCAACACAAATGATAAATGTTCCAGGTGATGGATATGCTAAGTACCTTGTTTGATCATTATACATTATATACATGTATCAAAATGTCACTCTATATGCTATTAAAAGTAATAAAATAGGCTGGGTACAGTGGTTCGTGCCTGTAATCCCAGCACTTTGGGAGGCTGAGGTTGGTGGATCAGTTGAGGTCAGGAGTTCAAGACCACCCCAGCCAATATGGCGAAATCTCATCTCTACTAAAATACAAAAATTAGCTGTGTCTGATGACTCCCGCCTGTAGTTCCCGCTACTTGGGAGGCTGAGGCAGGAGAATCACTTGAACCTGGGAGGCGGAGGTTGCAGTGAGCCGAGATCCTGTCACTGCACTCCAGCCTGTTCCACAGAGCAAGACTCTGTCCCAAAAAATAAATAAAATAGGCCAGGTGTGGTGGCTCATACCTGTCATCCCAGCACTTAGGGAGGCCGGGGCAGGTGAATCACAAGATCAGGAGTTCGAGACCAGCCTGGTCAACGTGGTGAAACCATGTCTCTACTAAAAAAAAAATACAAAAAGTTAGCTGGGCGTGGTGGCGGGTGCCTGTAATCCCAGCTACTCAGGAGGCTAAGGCAGGAGAATCCCTTGAAAACGGGAGGTGGAGGTTGCAGTGAGGCAAGATCATACCACTCCAGCCTGGGCAACAGTGCAGACAGTACAAGACTGCGTCTGAATAAAAAATAAAATAGGCCAGGCACAGTGGCTCATGCCTGTGATCCCAGCACTTTGGGAGGCCGAGGCAGGTAGATCACGAGGTCAGGAGTTGAAGACCAGCCTGCCCAAGATGGTGAAACCCCGTCTCTACTAAAAATACAAACATTAGCCGGGCTAATTTTAGCTGTAATCCCAGCTACTCAGGAGGCTGAGGCAGGAGAATCACTTGAACCCAGGAGGCGGAGGTTACACTGAGCCAAGACCACACCACTGCACTCCAACCTGGGCAACAGAGCAAGAGTCTGTCTCAAAAAACAAAACAAAACAAAATAAAATAAAGTAATAATAAAGTAGTGCTAAGTGGTCTACATATACAGATACCTTTTTTTTTCAGGAGGCTGAGGCAGGAGAAATCACCTTGAACCAGTGAGGCGGAGGTTACCACGTGAGCAAGAACCACACCACGTGCCACTGCCAACCTGGCAAACAGAGCAAGAGTCCTGTTATCAAAAAACATAAAAAACAAAATAACAATAAAGTAAATAATAAAGTAGTGCTAAAGTGGTCTACAGTATACAGATACCTTTTTTTTTTTTTTTGGAAACGAGGTCTATTGTTTGGGTCCAGGCTGGAGTTGTAGTGGCATGATTCAGCTTCACTGAGCAAACCTCTGCTCCCGGGTTTGAGCGATTCTCCTGCCTCAGCCTCCAAGTAGCTGGAAACATAACAGGTGCAAAGCCATCCATGCCTGGTTAATTTTTGTATTTTAAGAGGAGATGGGGTTTTGCGCATATTGGCCAGGGGGTCTTTGAACTCCGTGACCTCAAACTGATGATCCACCTCAAGCCACCCCAAGTGCTGGGTTTACAGGCGTGAGCCACTGTATGCCCTTTTCCTTTTTTGTTTGGATGAGATTCACTCTTGTTGCCAGGCTGGAGTTGCAGTTGTGGCACATTTTGGCTCACTGCAAACCTCTGGCCTCCCCGGTGCTTAAGCAGTTCTCTGCTCAGCCTCTCTGTAGTACCGGGTTACAGGCGTGTGCACCACGGCCCAGCTAATTGTTTTATTTTTTGAGATGAAGTCTTGCTCTGTGCCCGGCTGGGAGTGCGTGCAACGATCTCGGGCTCACTGACACCTCCCGCCATCGCCGGAGATGTTCAAGC